ACTGTGTGGCGCGTCTGCCTCCGCGACCCGAAAGGAGAAGCGGCGATGGAAGATGAAGATGAAGAAGATGTTACTCATCGTAGTTTGTAGTATTGTTCTGATATTCAGTAGATTTTCGGGAAAGGCAATATTCTCTCAATGTTACGTTTTACAGTACAGAGTAGTTTTACATCACATGTGATTTCAGTTTCTACTGTACTGCCGTGAGAAAGATAATTCGTTTTAGAAAGTGATAAAGACACGCGTGCGTCAGACGTGCTGGAACGGACGTTTGAACCAGGGCTTCGGCTGTTTGAAGAAGAAATCAGCGAAGTTATGGAAATTAAAGATACGAGAAAACTTGGTAAAACTTACTGGTACTGACGATGACGTCTGTGGTTTCGTTATAATTCGTTGTTTTATGTCATTTTAAAGTCACTTTATTACTTATTTTTTGTACTTGCGGAAGAGTAAAATTATTCGTTGAAGTCGTTATCTCTGCAGTGGTCAGACGGTACTGTGATCCCAAATGTCGTGATAGACTACTTTTACAGGTTTGTATTTACTTGTTTTACTGATTCATCTGTTGTTTACTTTAATAATTAGCTAATATAAAACTAACATATAGGAGATAAGTAAAAGTGTAGAGGCATTCACTGAACGGGCGAGGGCTTGTTGCGATGAAAAACATGACTTTATTTGTTGCAGCAACCAAACACGCTGAATGTAAATTTGAGAACACTTCAGCTCATTGAGAGGCACTGTATCCTGCAACTTGCTGACTTCGCTTCAAGCATTCTGAAGTCTCATTATTCACTTGTTCCTTGTTCATTAAATTCTTTAAAACACCTGCATATGCCTCCATTCAACAAAATTAAATACATTAAGTAACACCACAGAAATTCTGTGCGTGTGATGCCCAGTATCGTAGCTAAGATGCACATAGAGCAGATTATCAATGAAGCATCTGTAGTATCGAATGAACTGAGACCATGGACATAGTGCATTAACAATACTTAGGTTATACGATCGCGTGGACTTTACTAATTAAATGTTTTAGATAACACCTGGATTCCCTCCGCAAAAACGTCAAGTTCATCCATGATCTGAAAAGTGGGGAAAACTTCCATTCCTTGATGCATTGGCATTAAGAAAGAAGAGAATACTGGAAATGTCTCTGTGCGAAAATATCCTTATATCGGATGTTATGTAAATTTTCATATCCGGATGCCGCTATGCATCAAAATAGTTGGTCCAAATATTAAACTTGCTAAACGTATGACATAGGGAAGCATCTACATTACATCAAAAAGATAAGCTATTTGCTTAACTGGAGCAGATTCATCCAAGAGCAGTTCAACGGGGTTGGCTGCTAATTAAGCTTTATTTCGAAAGCCGCTTTCATTTGTTCATCAGGGCAGGATTAACGCATGGACTTTAGGTGCCTGCGTCAGTAAAAGGTTGTTTCATTTGTGAACGCTGAATGGAAATATTAGTGCTAGATATATTAAATATATAAATCTAATTTGTCGATGATTTCCAGCAAACAACACTAATTTAAGTTCCTCTTCGACGGTAAATCGATGGTGAAACATCTGCTCGTTTCTAAGGACCTGCCCTCCTGGTTATTTCCAATTTTTTTAGAGGTTGAACGCTGAAGGTAGATAGTTTGGAGTTCAGAGGCAAGCTTATGCCTGGCAACTGAAATTCGTTTAGTCAGCTCATATTTAGTATTATTTGTCCCAATTGGCATCGTCAGTGGCCTGTATTATTATGGCCAAACTGATTTGGGCCAATTTCTTTCTCGCTGATATGGGCACACATGACAATCAGAGTGAGGCGGGATGCGCCGGTAACCTTTCTCGTTGATGGGCGAGGGGTACGCCCGTGCTGTCCAGTGATGCGGCTCGTTGTGGCTGCACTTCGTCTTCGTTCATCCACCTGATACTTGACCACTACGCAATATAGTCAATGCAATGTGCAACCCAGATTTCAAGCTTTAACGAGGAATATTTGATCACTTTTTTCCACTGTGCGATACGTTTGGAGAATCTTCAGGTTTCTCAAAAAGTGATGACATCTCTTTGATCTTCTTCCCTTATGTGATAGAGATTCCGATTAGTACGTTTGACGACAGAGGACCAATTTCACGTTTTGTGGCCGGCCAAGGAAAAACTGATTATGTCGTATTGCCGTTTGCCAGTCATTACTGACCATGACAGGGTCGTAAGCAATTGCAGTTTTATGCCAATATGTTTTTGGCGAATTTCGCAGGCCATCCGAGAGGGGGGGGGGCCGGGGACCATAGACGTCTTCCTCCATTTCTTCCAAATAGCTAATTGCAATCCAGAAAGGATGCGGTTAGTGAGTTCTTGTCAGTATGGTTTATTGAGCAGTGTCAAGCATCGCCCTTGTCTTTTCACACCGGATACTGAACAAAAATACTGGAAAAAACTGCAAAAATACCGAAGCTATATTGCTGTAGCTTTGAATGTACATGGTCTCTAGAAAACATCAATGTTGAGCCCATTGCTAACAATTCTTTATCTTTGCTCCGTCTAGCATTTCTTCAAGAACGACCCTTTCGGGCGTTTAAGTTCGGTCTATGTTATGATGGCGCCAGGCTGCTGGGAGGTAAAAATGATGCAAATTATCGCCCCCTGGCTTGTGTACTTCGATCCTGACAGAAGAACCATCTCATAGTAGAGGCCGATGAACGAAAAAATGACGGAAAGCAAAAAGACGATTAGCACGTCGTGTCAGGGAGATAAAAATTTCCACTATAAAGCTGCTGATATTCACAGAAAAAGTATATTACGATTCACACTAATTACAGCTGAAGTAGTCCAATCCATTTTACGAGACGGACTTCATCTATTCACTCTGTCTAGCACGTTCACTTTACGCCCTACAACGCACGTTTTTAAAAGACACTGGCTTACAGCACTGCCGTCACTAGCAGGAAGGAGGTCAGATACATTATGCCATACAGTGATTATGACACGGAAGAATAAAGATGGCCAAATGTCTGAATGGAATCATTAACAAACACTTATTACAGAAATGCAACGTATCATGACGACGGCTAGTGTTATCCACTCAGTTGACGAACGGACTCCGTGTGTCCACACTGTCTAACATCAAGTCAAATTTACCCCACTACGCGCATCACACTTCACTGCAACTTCATTGCAGCACGATGCGTTCTTTTATTGGTTATCGGACAAAATGTTACCCATCGTAGGCGGATTTTTGTGAAGTTTGATTGGCTGAAATTATAGCATAGGGAGTACGGAACATAAAACTGAGAAAGCTGATTGTGGTAGACCTTGAGAGTCTTTTATTTTACAGTACCAGAAAGATTTTCCATATGCTACTGGCTCGTAATCCTCACAGTTCAGTGCAATATTTCTTTGATATGGTCAGTTCGCATAGCATGAAAGTCTTTTTTTCAGATTTAACTGATGTAGCTTAAGGTAGTTTTTTGTGGTACTTGTCCAGTTTAGTGTTGCTAGTCCCCGGGGTCTTTTAGAAACATCAGTTAATGCCTGCTGAAACTTTCTTTTGTTGAACTGTCACAGCGTCCGTTTTGATTTTTTTTCGTTTTCATATCACTTACTTTATTTTTGATTTAAGCAGCTGACCTCTCCGTATTTGGGATGCCGCTGTATGAGCTGACCCTGATTTTCAAGCCTATGTTAAAGGTAAATTTAATTTATGATTTTGTTGAGTTGCAGTCACGTAAGCGAATCATCATTTGACGTTTATTTTGTTTCTAGCAGGATAACAAAATGTATGTGTGAAGGTTTCAACGTTCATTCCAAGAAAATTACCTGTATGAACGAAAAATTGCCCCGGATGATTAGTATCGGGGAAATCTTAAAATCTCCGTTATCCGGGTTATCAGAAACTTAGGGGTAGAGTGATAGGTACGTAATGATGCTGAATACTGTGGAACACTTAACTGTTGTAATTCGTCCTCGGTATCTCCCTACATGAGGGCAAATAGTGACAAAGTGCCGTCACATTTGACGACGAAATAGAACAGAATTACTGATCCTAAACTCTGATAGACCTGTCGTTTACCTATAAACGGTCAGGTAACGAGGCAGTGACAACCGAGGCAAATTTGAGAGCTATTACATAAGGTTCTAATCCAAACGAAAGTGTTTTGCTTTTGTTGAAATCGTCATTTTAATAATCAGTCACATGGGCAGAATAGCTCTGGTTGGTGATATCCACTAAATTCAGAGCTTTTTCGGACGAAGGATCTAGGATTAGGGAGGGGATTTTTTATTAGTTGTAATCCCGACGAAGAAGTAGCTAAATTATCTTCTCTGCACTGTCTACAGTCAGAAACGGAACAACGAGTCATAGGCAAGACAAACAGAGCACCCAGTCTAACGATGCTTGTTCGATTTTATCGTCAAATAAATAGAGCATGTAATTCACATGTGGGATGAGCAGAATTTGGACAGTGCATCCTAATGACGGTGTCTTAGAATGTACGGCAATTATCACCACTCAGCCATTCGACATGAGAAGGTCGATCCGAACAGTGCTAAAATCAGCGTCGAAAGAACTAGTGATTGAAAGCATATTAGTGTAAGCCCAACAGCTGCCGAGTTGTTTATCAAAATTCCGCGGTCGTTTCCGAGGTAGGAACAGTGACAGCGGAACCCTGTAGCTGAACAAAACACAAAGTGTAGGTTTTATTTTCCGACAGATTTTCAACCCTGACAGTCTAATCGATCCTGTTGTTTGAGCGTTTTAAGTCATATGTTAATGACTGTGATAGTAGGGGGATTTTGCAC